GAATTGTAACAAATGTACAAAATCTGAAGTGAATCTGAGGTAGATGTATAATTGCATTCCAAAACATAACACCATTTGTCCACAAAACCGAGAGCTATGGATGGGAAGTAAAAAAAAAGTGTTTTAAAAATGAATGTTATTGACCATTGTGATTATTGACATAAATATGGTTATTGGCCACCGTGGTTATTGAAATAAATAGAGGTATCGATCATTATTTTTTATTGGTCATTGTGGTTATTGAAATGAATGGCGTTATTGACCATTGCGGTTATTGAAATAAATGTGGCCATTGGATCTTCACAGGTCGGGTGTTATAGACTTTGGATTGTAGTTTTATTGCAGCAGAGCTGATGGCTGTTTTGCTTCCAGTAATGACACGCATTCTTCCTGTAAAAGACAAAGCACAAAAACCAAACACTCTAGAGGTCTGGAACCGTGTGATCTGGGTGTTTGAGGATCTCCTGTTTGGGGGACGGGCTGCTTCAGTCTAGGAATTTCAGGGACCTGCATGATTTACAAGTGCTTTTCAATCAGAGACAGATGAAGGCTTAAAGACCGTGTGATCTGGCTTTCGTGTCCAAATAATTCGCTTAGTGAAGTTAGGTTAAGACCAGAACTGTAATGAAGCCTGGGCCTGTCCGTTTTTGCTCTCCGTAAATTGCAGCAGTACAAGTCCCTCATGCTTGGGTCTCGGGAACCGGTCGGACTGTTGTAATTTACAGCTCTTGTTCTGGGAAGAAAAGAAAAAAGCTTATCTGAAAGATTGGGCGGAAGCAACTCTCTTTCTTTTCAGGAAAGCCAGCTGGGGCCTCTCTGAGGGGCTGGAGGGGGTCGGCAGCGGCCGACCGCCCTTGGCCCCGCCAGAGGGCTGTGGGCCGCACCACAGCGAGCGACACCGCAGCTATTTCTGACAGCCGCCCCGGTCATGCGAGACCAACACCTGCGCAAAACAGTCCTAAACAGCCCGGCTGCGGTCAGTCAGCGGCTCGAAGGACGCTCTGCGGACCTCGAGATAAGATACATGCAAATGAAGGAGGGGGAAACACCTGTTCGCACATCGAGCAAGGAGGGGAGAATTTAGGCTAAAAGAAGTACCGAAACTGCCGGTCGAGAACAAACAGCACACTTCCGAGCTTTTTGTTTACTTTTTCACTTTTACACCACCCTGGTTTTAAAGTGTCATAAGCGTACGTGGACTTTTCTGATGCCGAAGCCAAAGTACGAATTACAAAGCTTTCATGCTTATGCATCACACATCTCTCTCCGATTTCCCATGTATGCTTATTTTCGCTGTCGTTATCGACGTCGTAATCCTAGGACTGGAATCGGAAACTCTCCCGACCCTCCACGTTCAAAAACAAGCCATTTGGCCATTTCCAGTCACGTTGAAATGCACGTCCGCGTCGTTTCCACTGGTGTTTTCTGGTTCGTGTTTCATTTTTCCGTTCCGAAACACGATATCAGTGCCTTTTGAGGATCCTGAATATTTGGTCTTTAAGATACTACATTTAAAACAGGATAGTATCTGATTGTTCGCTTCCGGATTGATTCACGAACAGCGATATCTTCCCTATGACATGGTGAACATAATTGCACACAATATTCTAAATTAAGATTAGACAATTTCAACACCAGATCCCGTGATTTAAGTTAGTAGCTTCTAACTATATGAATTCCTACTTTTTAACTTGCCCTTTTAATTGGCTTCCGTACACTTCTGATTTGGTTTTACACACTTCTGGATTGTTCGAGTTGGTGAGTGGTCCCCAGCATTAAATGGAGCCCCAGGACAGTGAGAAAGAACTCTCAATCAATCCTAGGAGTAAACTCTGGAAAAAAAATGACCATGAGACTATCCCAGAAAAAAAGAAGACTTTTAGAAAGTGTTATTCATGAATAAAATGACGAAACATTCCTGAAAGTTTCTATTTGCAGAAATATAAATATAAAATGAAAAGGATAAAAACTGCAGTAGATCATAAGGGATTTGGAGGCATTTTTCCCCACAAAGTGTTGTAGATTGTACTTGAAAAAGGTTAAGTTAAAAACATGTCCAAGATATAGTTTGTATTATCCATTTTATATCTGACACTTAATCAATAGTGTGTCACTACTGAAAAACCTAGAACTGTCTGTAAAACTGTGATTATTGTTCTGTATTAATTCTCAGTAACAGTTGTTTTCAAGAGACACTGATTTCTCTTGAAAGTCCTTAGATATTTAATTCAGTCAGACATTTGTCCTGTCTAAATAACCCATTAGCATGACTATTTTCCTGATAACAAATCATTTTGTATTTTAGAGCATTATTTTCCCACAATGTACTGTGGATTGTATCAAATAACTTTTTTTAAATAAGAATCAGGTTGATCTTAGTTGTGCTGTAGGACTGCTTTACTTCTTAGTGTGTAACTACAGAATACGCTTTGTATGTATATTTCATGTTATGCAGAGGCACGGTTATAATAATAATAATAATAATAATAATAATAATAATAATAATAATAATTATTATTATTATTATTATTATTATTATTGATTACGATGTTAGTTGAGTTTGCTTTCTACAGTTGTATATTATTCATGAAAGCTATTTACACTCTTAGTATGATTTATAAGACACGTGTTAGGCATTTACAGCTGACAACTAGATTGAATAGATTGTCACCTATGAAAAACAGAGACGTGTCTATAATGGGTATACCACTGTGATACGTTTTCGTTATTAATTCTCAATAAACATTATTTATAACTTAAATCCAGACAGCTGTCTGTAATGTCTAAATGACACATTGATGGCTATTTCCCTATTAACCCCTGTAACAGATTATCTGCATTTATATTCATTTTATCCGTTTTAACTATCTCTTTTGTGCACATAATCTCTAAAGAACATTAACCCTTAGTAGGATAAATATTTTGGTAATGCTTTGGATTAGGGGGTGCAAATGTTGTTGCTTATCATTTGAGAATTGTTAACTTTTTTATATAGAATTATTTAAGAGTCATAAACGTGATAGTAGTCTTCCTACTAGTAGCCAAAATCCTTGTCCCCCAGTTTGAACACTAATCCTACACCCAGAGCTACTGTATCTGTAGGTGACTTCTATCTGTACAAATTACCAATTGTAATTAAGACTTATTGCATTCATCAGCATTGTAGTGTGACTTTTGTACCTTTGCTTAGCAAATCAATTCTAGCATTTCTGAGCTCTAATAAATCTGTATTTTAGACAGTCCCAGAAAAACCTATTATAAAGGTTTCGACATTAATTTACGTCGTCGTCGTCGTTGTTTTAGAGAAACACTCATCGAATCCAAAACTCTTGGTTGCGTTCACCTCATATTATATCTGTTTGAAAGTGTTTTTTTTTTTAGCTCGGGCTTTTTCGACTTTTTAATTTAATACAGAAAGAACCCTCTTTCAAGGAACGTAAATATAGAAATTAATATCAGTTAAAGTTTAGTTTCGCGAGTGCAGCTGCGGAAGCCCAGAAGACTCACCGCAAGGCGGAAGGGAGGGAGCAAACTTTTCCTATAGGGGCATTCGAGGAAAGTAGATGAATCCTCTACATCAAAAAAATATTAAATCTGCAACCTAAAACAAATTTAAAGAATAACAAAGAATATTGCTGCTGCTTGGAGGTAAATGTTAATGAGTTAATTTCTTAAGAAACACAATCAAGAATAATTTAATCTGGTAATCACCTCTAACCTACTGTATAATGTGGTTGGCCATTCGAAGCTTCTATATTCAATTAAAATGCATTTTCTTCTGAGGTCAGATAAAAAAGTAGGTTGTATATATTTCTCATTTTGTAGAACCTCTCTTGAGAAGTACAATGCACTCTTTTTTATGTTTTGAATGACACAAAGTGATAGTTCTGATATGACACGCCACAAAGCTAATATAAGCTAATATAAATCTATATTAGACAGCATGAAAAAGACAATAAGATATGTTTCCTCGTGTAGGTAAAAAGAAGGTGGATGGCTTTTAAAACCGTTGAAACGCCGCATGTTCAAATCTCCCGATTTAGGAACCTTTTTTGAGCAAATAAAAACGTCTGATCACAAATTTCTCGTTGAACACCTTTCACAAAAGTGCGATGACGAGAATGGGGATTTTGAAAGAGAAGGCTTCGTAAACGATTTTCGCGATAATTAAAAATAAAAAATATATAAAATCAAGACAACGCCAGTCATTTCGAAGTTTGTATTTTATCTTGAAAATAAAATGTACTTTGCACATGACACAGATACAACAATTTAAAACAATGTAAACAGACATGCAGCTGTCACTAACAGAAAACACAAAGTCTAACCACTCTATTAGACAATTCAAAGTTAGTACAAATCCTTTAAAAAAATCAGCTTCAGTTTTGCTTTATGCTTCAAGGACTAGAAATGGAGGCTGTAAGAATATTTAATAAGAAGACATTAATGTTTCGAATTTGGAGTTCCTGCCCTCATGCAAAATTCCCCGCAGATGAGTCAGCTCTGGTAGAAGATGTTTGCATATATCAGTCTCCTGCAATTTCCGCCTTGTCAGAAAAAATATTTGTTCACAGTTTACACAATTAACAGTTACTTCGTGGTTATTTTTAGGACCAATCAAGCTCTCTTTCTGATCTCACAGCTGGAAACCACACTGTCCAAAATCTGATATATCTGCAGGGTGTGGACTTATATTTCTAGACAGGCAGGTATGATGTATTTATTTACATTTTGTGTTGTCCCTAAGGAGTTAATAAAGATCTGATACAAGTCCTTCACATCCCATGTCTGAATTTTATAGAATTGCAAAGAATTCTCCAGCTAAATGAAATCAAACAAATAGCGCTTCCAGTTTACGCAAGTCCAGAATACTGATGGGATTTCCAACAGAAGCATTTTGCTGAAATACGCTGGGGGTACTCCAGTGATGCACATCCACAGCACTCCAGTATCTACTGCCTTCTCCTCATCTGTATACGTGTGACAGTTTCAGATACTTCTAAATTTGTTTAATCTAATTTAATAGCCAACAGGGTGCTTTTGAAAAGATTCATTCTCCTGAAAAGATGAATACATAGGAAATGTTTTACCCATTCACTGATAAAAGCATTCCTCTCGGGACAATGACATCCAGTGACTGAATGCTTTGTGCCTGTTTGGAATACAATTGGTGGAATAGGTTTGGCTTAACCCTCTTGGTTAATGGGTAGGCTCCCGGCCTTGAGTGAGCCCAGGGGCAGCTGCAAGTTGGAGATGAGCTGGAGTAGAGATGCTTGAGAAAAATGCACACCGAGGTGTTTCTCTTTGCTATAAAGACTTAATTTCCATTAGGTGATTAGATACAGCTTTGTGTGACTGGCTTGTCATTGTTATCTGTCAGTTAATTGCTTCCTTTTAAAGGATTCTTGAAGCACCTATAAATAAAACCCTACCCATGGCATAAAAATAATGCAACAGACGTATTATGTCAGCAGTGCTGGTTGAGAAAATATGCGTTTTAGCTCCTGCAGATCAGGTGACTCATAAATGCCAGTGCCGGGGGAATCCAGAGAGGAGGGAGTCTTACTTCACCTGTAACAAGAAGAGATCACGGGCGGAAATGAGTTCGTTTTGCTTTCAAGGTTGTTTTCATTTCAATGCACAAGGCAGTGCAGCATTGGGTGGCTGCCGCGGAACAGACCAACTGCTAAATGTTCTGACTCATTTTATACATGCCAGCCTCATGTAGTCTGTCACTGGTTGGTTTGTTTGAGGCTCAGGTGATATTTGCCCTGTTCTTTGAGGCTGATTGCGTCTTCTCTTAACACCCTTGTGAGGAGCTCACCGATTCCTGTTGTTTTTACAAAGTCAGGTCTTGCAGTATTCTAAGTGACCCTGAGGCAGTTTTTCTAACCGATACAGAGCTGTATAGATAAGCTAGGAGATCCCAGTATCCCATATGCTCCACAACACAATTAAACACTCTCACTATAGTCTTGAGTATTGATGTGTCAATATGGTCAGCATAGTAGCGCAGAGGTTAACATTGCTGCCTCACAGCACTAGGGCCCTGTGTTTCAATCCCAGGGTGCTATCTGTGTGGAGTTTTTATGTTTTTCCCATGTTCACGTGGGTTTTCTCCAGTTTCCTCCCACACTCCAAAGACATGCTGGTAGGTTAATTGGCTTCTGGGAAGACTGGCCCAGGTATGAATGTTTGTGTCTGTGTCTGTGTGTGCCCTGTAATGGACTGGCGTCCTGTCAAGGGTGTATTCTGCCTTGTGCCCATTGCTTGCTGGGATAGGCTCCTTTTCCCCAGCGTCCCTGCGGTTAGAAAATGGATAGATGTGTCTACATAGTATAGTACAGTATATATTTTAGCAGAACATGGAGAATGTGGCATATAGGAATGGATATTCGTGATATAACAAACAACAGATTTAGCAAGGTAACTGGCAGCAGAAGAAGGCATAATAGAAGGGAGGAATGTAATAATAATAATTGCTTACACTTATATAGTGCTTTTCTGGACACTCCACTCAAAGCTCTTTACAGGTAATGGGGATCCCCTCCACCACCACCAGTGTGCAGCCCCACCTGGATGATGCTCCAGTACTCTCCCCACACACCAGCTCTCAGTGGGGAGGAGAGCAGAGTGATGAAACCAGTTCATAGATGGGGATTATTAGGAGGTCATGACTGGTAAAGGTCAATGGGAAATTTGGCCAGGACACCTGGGCTACACCCCTACTCTTTTAGAGAGACACCCTGGGATTTTTACTGACCACAGACAGTCAGGACCTCGGTTTTACATCTCATCCTAAGGACAGCGCCTTTTTACAGTATAGTGTCCCTGTCACTATACTGCAGCATTAGGACCCACACAGACCGCAGGGTGAGCGCCCCCTGCTGGCCGCACTAACACCTCTTCCAGCAGCAACCTGAGCTTTCCCAGGAGTCTCCCATCCAGGTACTGACCAGGCTCCCACCTGCTGAGCTCCAGTGGGGCTGCCAGCTGGGAGCTGCAGGGTGATATGGCTGCTGGCATGTAGCGGTAGCCAGTACGATACCTTGGACATGGTGAGGATGGCGCTGTACAGGAAGTTGAAGAGGAAGAGGAAGATGAACCACAAGGCTGTTGTCCATGCGCTACCCTCGCTGTCATCAGGATTGGCGTCTCCGCAGTCCAGAAACCACAGACCATGCACTGAGGAAGGCAAGGAAAGGAAACTTATATTACCCACTCATATTAAATCAGTTGGACTCAGAAGTTAAGTTCTCTCCCCCCAAAATAAGAATTGAGTTTCATAACACAAGCGTGGCCCAAATTGTCCAGATAAAATGCGTTAGATATCACAAAGAAGGTTTGCTAAAACATCCATCTATTTTCTAACCACTACTTCTAATTCAGGGCCACAGAGGGGCCAAAGGCTATCCCAGCAAGCAATTAGCAAAAAACCTAAATTAAATAAAAAATAAAAAACAATGTCCATCACAGGGCACACTCCCAAACACAGACACTCTCACACTAGGGACAATTGTCCCAGAAGCCAAACAACCATTATGACTTGGGACTGAGTCTGGAGTCCAAACTGGAGGAAAACGGAGCACCCAGAGGAAACCAACATGAGCTAGAGGTGAACATACAAACCCCACACAGATAGCACCTCAGGTCTTGAATTGAAAACTGTGAAGCCCGTATACTGAAACATGTAATTCCAAATAAAAGCTAAAAAAATTGATATCATAAATATCCTAAACCATTTTTTTTATCATAAAGAGCAAAGCATCAACTAATATCTGCACAATCATCGACATGCAAGCTTTTATTATCAGAGCTAACATATTTAATGCAGATAGACAAAAAGCATCAGTTAAAAGCTCATTTTTGTGACCATGGAAGAAGAAATTAGCTGAATTTAGTATACACAAAAGGAAGCACAGCACAAACAGTTACACATGCACAAGGATAATGGGGGCTGACTTTTAATATGAAATTACTTCTATAAAGGTGCAGTGCTGTCAGACAAGTCAGTTTGCCAGAACACCATGAATTTAGTGCCTTGCTAATGTCTGATCAGCAATAAATTGAAATTAAATGTTTGAATAGTAATAGCAATTAAAATATTTTAATCCACATAATTTTGATATTACTGGTTTCATGTCTCTTTATCTTTTTAATATTGTGTGTTAAACCCACTAATGCGCTTTTTAGACTGTGATATTATTATGAGGATAGCTGATTGGAAGAATTAAATAAATTCAACAACATGATTTGTGGCTTGGCTGAGAGATTTAAGAAAAAGGAGCAACTGTGAGCTCAACTAACTTATTTTTCAACACTAGCAACTTCTTTGGCACAATCCTCATTTCTGGATAGTCACGAGACCCCTAATAGATGAATTATGGTTTGTGATTTACCAATAAATGAAAAATGGTTTTATTTTAATCATACAGTATGTGCATTAAAATGTCAATTGTCACTAATGTAAACAATACAATTTATGTTATACGTTCTTCTGTGTATTTTAAATTTGTGGTGCATTTTTCATATGACATAACTGAACTCCTGCTGATTCTTTTTAAGCTACATCTTATTTGAAATATAATACTGTACATTAAAATATGAGTTGATTGTCTTTTGATTAGCACCCTATGGCTAATTGCACATGTATTTTTGTGCAGAAGGATTGTATTTCAAATCTTTGTGAGCAGCATTCAATGTTAAGCATGCAGTGAAAATCTTCTTCTTTTGAAGGTATTCTAGATTGTGAAATGGCTATTTTCACTTTACAAAGAACAAGTCAGTGGGTTGTGGACAACAGCTAGCCGAGCTGAGAGTAGATCAGTGTTCCACCAGCTGTGTGAAAGGTTTTGAAGAGCAAGTTTTCATTTGGTGGAGCACCTTGAGCACCTCAACCTGTTTTTGAAGTATTTGACCTCTTCCTTACAATTAGAAATAGGTATCTCTTGCCTACAAGCAAATCAAACCTAGCTTTGGCTCCAGTCATTCTTATACTGTACACTTGTACAGTTTCTGGCTGTTTCCTAAATTCCTGAAGTATTCCCAGCCAATTTCTGGTAGTGATTTTCACTTAATTTGTAGTCAAAAATACATAGTGCTACGGTTAGCACATGTTCAACGACCTGTGTAGTTTGACTTTTTTTGTTGTTAGAAAAGTTGTTGCTCCTTCTCAATTTGCAATGTTTGTGTGGAATATAATCCCAGAATTTCACATTCATATTTGCATTTTTATTTTGCATCTAAACTAGTACATTAAGTATTAAAACACTGGCAGATATTGGTAATTGCTTCGCCTGAGATTTCCATTCCATGTATCTGTTTACACTTATTACAGACACAACATCAAATGAATGAACTGACATAATATTCACAAACAGACGTCAGGGACACACTTGCAGTAACACAATTACAGTGAGCACAAAGATTAAAGGGGGGGGAATTATACATTTGAACAAAAAGAGCGACAGGGATTAGAGGTATTCATTGATTCTTACTCATGTACTGTGAATGCCAGGTATATATATCATACATATATATGATATGAAATGGTTACTTGAAAACAAACCCGATAATTAAATGGAAGTTAAAATATACATGTGGAAGCAACTACTTATAAGCAATGGTAAAAAACAACAACAACAAAGTGTTAAATGTTGTAGCCTTTAAATTTTAAATACGCCAAACATGTATAATCAGGGCTTTTGTAGTACAGTCTTGTACTGCTGCTCATAGAGATAACCATTTGGTTTAGCAGCCTGATTTCCAATCATTGATAATCTTAACATGTTACTTTTCGAAATGTGCATAGTCGAAATAGTGTGTGTGCATAGTTGTGCCATTAGGTTTTTGGTGCTGTAGTCTTCGCCTCCTTAACAGTTGTGTGGTTTTGTTGGGACTTGATAAGAACAGATCGCGTGACACAGGGCAATTGCTGGAAACAGACACGGTACAGAGATACGTGCAGAAGGAATTGTTTTGGGGAATGGCATCAGCAGGAACAGAGACAGATGGGACGGTTATTCATCAACAAAAGTTGGACACTGGCATTTACCATCTTCTTTCTTGATAGTTTTCATCCGGGGGGCTGTTTTGTTATCTCCCAGTGAAGGATGTTTCACTGCACATAAATATTCATTTTTCTCCCACTGATCTTTAGCAATGGTCAGGTAGCTCATGGCTGAGTACAGGCCATTGTTCTTTACAGGGCGACTTGTGATGCCTTCTTCTTTCAAGTTTCCATTTTCTCCCCACATGATATAAATATTTTCAGGAAAAAACCCAGTCACCAGGCACACGAGAGTGGCAGATCCTTTTTCCCGTATTTCAGCCTCTGATGGGGGCAGTATATACAAGGTAGGTTTTTGCTTTAAGCCTGAAAACAAAAAGCAAAACCTAATCATAATGCTAATCATATAAACCTTAGCAACTTTAAACTGGCTGGCGACGCTGAGTATGAATGCTCATAAATACACACATGACTACCACCCCCCGAACACACACAACATACTAAAATGACATTCTTCATTGAAAACACCAGCATCACCATCTCATGTGATCTCATGAGATGGAAGATGCAAAGAGAGGCCCTTTTCAGGACTGGGGTAGAGCACCTCTAAAAAAACAGTACAGCTCTAGTACTAGTGATACTAGACAAGTAAGTTGTGCTCTTTCCTCTAGACCGGAATTTTCAAGCCATTCCACCAGTGTGGTGAGAAGGGTCACTGTGCTTAGAAGGTCCTGTTCTTCATATAAGCCTTTAAACCAAGGTCCAGACAACCCAGCAATTTAAGATGCCAGGGTCTATTCACACTGTAATAATAGGGGTGTTGATATCCAGGTCTGATTACTGTTCATTACAGATCCCAGGACACTGTCCATGAGAGTAGATGTGTTTATCTTTGTTTCCTGGCTAAATTCCAGAGGGAAATTTAGCCAGAACACCAGTATGTTAGTACAATAAGACATATCTAACATTTATCTTTATGCAACTGGTATACTGGTAAATAAACACCAGTTTCATCATCATTGTGTTTTTTTTTTTTGCATTTTGGGGACCTGATCACACTGACCTAGTGAAGAGAATTTGAAAGACAAATAATCTTGTCAGAATGTCTGTACACTCATAAACAACATCTAATTCAACTTTCTGAAAACAAACATGCATCATAAATCTTAGCTATGGCCTATATTCACCTAGGCCACCACTGGAATCAGGAATGAAATGCTTAATTGTTTTGAGAACTGCTTGTAATACTGCATAGATAGCAATTTAAATATATTTTGAGATATACAACCTTGACATTTTGTAAATGCATTTACATAAAAGAGTCAGTAAACTAAATAATCTTAGCCTCTAAATACAAATCTCCAGTTTGCTAGAGTTCAATACTGACCAAGTAATATTTAATGCATGTATTGCATATCACAACACTGTATGGTTTAGTTATTTTACTCTAACTCTCTGACTCTCTGACCTAGTAACTTAACCAAAAACCTTTTTTTGCCAAAGCTTGAACTGTGTTAATCACTGTTTTTATTGTCTTTAGTTTGGACTGGTGCATATATTACTGAAGATGTATAATTGTTTCCTGGTTCCTCTGAAGCTGATGTGCATTTCTCATATACCAACAAACAAACATGGAGCAAATTTTTTGTGTGGTGTGAGAAATATCAGAAATTATTTTGAGCATCCATGAAATCTACTTACCTCTATTGTTTACTTGAATTTGCCTTTTAATGGGATCTTGCTGAGATTTGAGTTGCACAATACACTCAAACACTTCTCCACTGTACCACTTCGAAGCGTCAATTGTTAAGTTGCTGACAGCTCTTGTTTGAGTAAGATTTAACTGGCCTGTGGCAGGTTTTCCCCCTTCTGTCCAGGACACCTGTGCACCTATCAGATTATCACCTTCTACCTCGCAGGACAGCACAGCTCTGTTGGAAATGAACAATTCTTTCTGGTCTGCATCCTTCAGGTTTACCTGCAGACAGGGTGCTTCAAACACCATGAATGAAGAATAAAGGGGAGATGTCAGGGTGGGTTCAGTAGATTGGTAATATCCAACTGATTATCGTAGAAGGACAAATGTATTGGAGGTTATTTGAAGTGAGTCTCCAGGCTGAGAGAACAATGAGTTGACTGTAAGAAGGAGGCTGACTGGACTCTCCCCACTTTCACGAGGAATGAGCTGGGGAGCTGCTGCAAGGGTAAAAATGGGGAGGTGGGAGAGGTGAGAGAAAGGAGCAAAGGAGGCAACATACACACAGGAGGTCATGAAATCTGTACCTTGAAGATGAATTTGATCATCCAAGAAAAACACAGCTGAAACTAGGCGGAAAAATGTCAAGTAGGCTATTTACAGATATGTACTGTGTCATCTTCCAGATGAGGTCTCTACTTGGTTAAGACTGAAGACCCTAGGACAGTTTGTAAGAGTATTCGGTATTGATTATGGTTTTCTTGCTAAACTCCACTCTGGAAAGAACTCTCTGTCCTCCCTAAAGTACTCCTTAATTCAGCTGAAAAAGCAATTTTTCTCTCTTTCTTCTTATCTGTGTTGCAGTGGGGCCACTGCACTCCAGTGGTGGGTGAGGTATGTCCCCTCTCATGAAGGCCAGAGCTTTGAGACCCTTTGGAATGAAAAGCTCTGTTTGAATGCAATTAGTTATTTTTATAGATTCTTTAAATCTGTCTAACCTATCTTTCAGGAGGTTAACACATCACATGTCTACTTTCTATTTCTGGTCAATGTTTACAGAAACCTTGCAGTAGTAACTGTCATCATTTTTCATACTCACACCCGAAGAAGGCTCCACAGCCGAAACATTGTTTCCTTTTTTCTCTTTTCAGTATGGATTACATTTTTAACACTTTCCCTGCTCTCCTTTTTCACAGTGATGGAACTTGGGATTATATACTTATCCTCTTGCAGTACTGGAAAATACTCCACTGTCTTTGCTCTGTTAATTCCAACACCATGCAAGAATATAACAAGGACCTGAGGGTCTCATGTTTTAATTTGTAGTGCCACATATAAATGCTAGCAGCTGCCATGATTTAATGGTGAACTTGGTGTTGGATATGACAAACACAATGACTGAGTTTTCATCTGGATATCGGGACTAAAAATCAGTCCATCCATTCATTACCTTGTATCTTGGGTGGATCAATTTTCTTGATTGGATCAGTCTTCACGTCACCCTGAGGATGTTTTGCCTCACAGTAGAAGGATTTTCCTGAGTTCCAGTCGGAGGTGGACAAGGACACCATGCTGGTCGAGGAGTAGGTCCCCCCACTGAGCACGGACGGGTATTTCTCGAAGGGGGTCAGCTCTTTGTTGGTACTGTCGGTCCACTTGAAGGTCAGGGAATCGGGCAGGAACCCTGTGGCCAAGCAGCCCACAGAAACCACACCTCCACTCGTTCCAGAGCCGCATGAGGCCACCAGAGGGAACAGGGTTGGCTTAGTCGGTGAACCTGAAGATAGAAACACGACACAATCACTTACTATCCATGACAGAGTTCCAGTTTATTTTGGAAACATAAAACCCTTCCCATGTTTTGATAGGTTTCCTGGAGGATCTTGGAGGTCATTCCTGTTTTTGTTTCTCTACTCCTGTTCATGTTTCACCTCACCCTTTCAATCTAAACACAGCCCTGACTCCTCCAGATAGGTGTTAATTCTGGTGTTGAAAGCTAATTAGTGACCTTGTCTGAATGATCAAGGCCTCTTGGGCCAACTTGTCACCCAGAGCTGCTTCTTCTGGACTTGTCGACAAGCATCTACATGTGGGAGTGCGTCACCCTCATTATTCATACCGGGAAGGCATGATAGTGAACATGAAGAACTTAATAGAGGAACCAAGTTCACTAGGAAGTTGGTAGTTAACGTGCACAGGAGAAAAACTTAATTAACACTCAACAAGCTGTAATAAATTAGGCTAGAAATGGCCCTGTTGAGAAACGCTTCGTTTAAACGATTAATTCTCCCGAAAAGTTCAAGCAAACTCTCTGTCGTTAAAGGACATTGCTGTAGTTTCTAAACGCGATCACACAAATAGCACAGCACAGGAATACGCCGAGTAAAGGAGCGACATGAAAAACACAAAACCAACCAAAAATTCTTACAAGCTACAGCTAACAGACCGTCCGGGCTCCGCGATTGTGTGATTAATGTTCTGGGTGTGACTTTTACCTTTTTCAAAAATTATATGAAAACAAAAACCCGTCTTGCACCTGATAAGCTAAAACTGTTTTCAGAATTGCGGGATCATTTAAATTAATTCTCACAAAATAATTGTTAAGGCTGCTGAAATAAAGAGAACTGAAGAGCACAAGACTGTGAAACGTACATTTAAAGACGGAAGAAAGTTATACGAACACACCGTTTGCAATGTATACAGCGTTAGCATCTGTAGCGGTTAACGCCTATTACGTTTAACAGAAAAATAAACGTCAGATATGAATTAAAATAACTTTCAGACTATACAAGTCACGGAAAAACGCGTCAGTTAATTAATAAGTTGATCAATACCTTCTGGTGGAGCGGTTTATAAAATAGTGCATTTTTGTCATATGAAATAAAGTCGGATCATTCAGCGTCCTCTCGCCTTTCTCATTATTTTGCATATTATAAGCCGAATAATTAAATATTACGGCAATCACTTTTTAGATGGTTTGTTTTAGAGATAAAAAAAATCTTATTTTATAGGTGAGGATATATGCAGTTTTGGTTGTCTTTGAATGGAAAACGGTTAACACAAATGTTTTTTTCAGTTTAGTCTTATCAAACAAGCTACTAGACCCGAAACGCAGCACAGTTTATTTAACTTGCGAAAAGTAACATGGCAGGTTAAATTTTTTGAAAAAGAGATACACTAAAGGGAGGCTTTGGAAGTGAAATCGATTAAATCTTTTTTTTTCTCCTCATGTAAAGAAAGCGCAAATAAACTAGAACAACGAATAATAAAATAAAGTGTTCTTACCTGGTGATACGGTCACTATCTTCCTTCCCCCCCAGTAATCAAACCAGTCGCATTGTGACTTAAAATTCACCTACCCTGAACCCAAAACGTTTAGATTATAGACCTTTATAGTCAGATTCTGGGTCGCATACGAGCGGAGGGAAATGTAACATACAACTTAGACTGAACTAGAAACCTGAAGGTATGTTGATGTAAAACAAACTGCATGCCTACCTATCTGCATGCAACCACGACCTAAGATTTTTCACGTTCCGCCCGTTCTCCTTTTAATTGAAATTTTTACATCCGATTATTTTTTTCTGGTCCTTTAATTTTATGGCGCATGATATCGGATGGGAATTTATTTTAACGAAAACGAAGGATTTTAAGTTAACGAAAGCAGAACAGCTTTCTGATTTTTACATCTAAAATACGAAACGAAATTTATTGCTAGGAAAATAAAAGAAACGGATTTCTTACCGGAGGTGACCGTGACCATGGTGCCTTTTCCCCAGTAGTCAAAAGCCCAGTAGCACAGTGACTGACTCGGCTCTGCCGCCGCGATTAAAACACTAACCGCTCGCTTCCAGTGAGGAGCGAGTCTAACAGGACTGGGTACGAATTACTTTCGCAGCGGACTATAGGAGCTGTCTCTATCGCACTCTTTCACTCGGATCTAAAGCTCCAACTGAACAAAACAATTCGATAAAACGCGCTGAAATCACGCTTGTGATCTATTTTAAATTAGAGGTCTTACCAGATGTGACGGTGACCATGGTTCCTTTGCCCCAGTAGTCGAAAGCATCGTAGTCACACTGAATTATTTCGCCGGACACTCAGTGCAAAAACTTTTCAACATAAAACCTTGTTTCTTATACTGTACGGAAAACCCTTACCGTTTGCTATTATCGTTTATATCGCTATTAACCCTTATCGTTTTTATTTTGCCGGGCTTTGTCAGCCCTTAGTAAATTGAATTCAACGTCGATACAGCTGATACAGAAACCGCGTATTTTCCTGACCGTTTCCTTGCCTGGGTTGTTATTTTGAGGCACCACAGAGTAAGAGACGAAGGTAAAACTGGATCATTAGCTCAAACTCCACCAAAATCACGCACCGGGCGTCTCAGCAGTGAGTGTGCTCGGTACTTACCGGAGGTGACGGTGACCGCTGTCCCGGATCCCCAGTAATCGAAGCGGTTGTCACGTTGCTGAATTTACTCCGACCGCTCATTCTAAAACCCGGGTAACCCAGGCACCGACCGAACAACCACCGTATCCTAATCATTTGTACTTCGTCTATCATTTATTTACTGTATATTCTATATAAAAATAGACTATTCTGCCTTATATCACATTAACAACGTCGCCTACCACCAATAAAGGCCGAAAAAAATGCGTATCTTTTCAGATCTTGATGAAGGTAAATCCATTCGGTCGCCACAGAGAGGTTAGATAATGATTAGACAGTATTCTATTTGCCGTATACATTTTACAAATATTTTTAATCTGCTCGAACGCTAATCACAATCTTCAATTCAATCTCGAATACTAAATTGCAGCGTGGGCAGTTAATTGTATGACACGATGGAAAGGCATGTTTTTTTTTTAATTCCCTGTTTCTGCTCCAGTGAAATCATTACATTGTAAGCTTTAAAAAAATCGAGTATTAAATATAAAGCGCAATTTACCCCTCTTTCTTTCCTCTCGAATTGAGCCCAGTTAAAATTCAGTAACCCAGCATAACCTATGCCGACCTTAGATTTGACAAGTCTGACCACAGAAAACGAACAAACAGAAAAATCCACCGTCCAAATTCTAACGGGGTAAAGACGGGAAATAAACGGGTTTTTCTTACCAGAAGTGACGGTGACCATGGTGCCTTTCCCCCAGTAGTCAAAGTAGTCACACTGCTCGTGTCCATACACTCTGCTGTACAATAAGTCCCTACAGTTTCTCCCGATTTAAACCAAGCGGTGACAAAACTTTCCGAATACCGAAATGCAGGTGTTTTAATTCAGAATTCAAACTTAAAAAACACGAAAACGTCAATTGTTACGGACAGCAGCCTATTATTTAACTAATGTTGTCTTCCACTCGCTTCTAAAGCTTAAATAGAGCGACTGGATACAAAATCTACTTAAAAATCACGGTTATTGTATATTTTAAACTAGAGGTCTTACCTGATGTGACGGTGACCATAGTTCCTTTCCCCCAGTAGTCGAAAGCATAGTAGTCACACTGAATTAGTTCACCGGACTATCGGTGCAAAAACGTTTTCAGTATAAAATCCTGTTTATTATATTACAACGAGAACTTGAGTCTTATCTATGTAACGTAAGCCCCATGGAAAGGTTTTTTTTTAAAATATGTAATTGCTATTTTATAGCCCCATTAAAAAGAAAAGCCAGGACAGTATCTGGGAATGATTGAAGTTTATCAGTTTTAACTGAGAACGTATTTAATACATTTCTGTTATTAAATATCAACGCCTATCATGTTCTGCATTTTTTTTCTGCATCGACAGTAAAGTCGTCGATTCTCATGGCCATTTTCCAGTTTAATATTGAAAAGCCGTGATTTCTAATTTTAAAAATTGTATCCATTAATTAAAAAAGTTAACACGAGATTGTGTCGGTGGCTATGATACGTGTAACGGACGTCGTTCTGTAATTGAAGCAGCCTTTATATATATATATTTTAATGGGACCCGAGATATAGTTATAAAGGACGCAAACGCTGTTCTTTAAATTTCAGGTTCAGCAAATCGTGAAGCATTTTTCTATCGCTAGACCTGGTTTTACCAGAGAAATACGACGAAGCCAAATTATATTATAAAAGTAAGAAGAATTCAGAACGAACGCAAGTTGTTTTCTTACCCGAGGTGACGGTGACTTGTGTCCCTTTCCCCCAGTGATCGAAGTAGTTGTAGTAGTAGCACAGCGGTTAGTTGTTTAAACGGAGGTTAACATTAATATCGACGCTCAGGACCATTCAAATGTTTTCCCTTTTTAAATGATTTTTTTACATTTATAATTCTAAAAAAACCTTTTTCCGTTGCCTCTGTTATTTTGACTTGTTTGAGTTCACTCATCAGCATGAGTACTCGTACAGCAAAAGGTGGCAGAAATATCAATTCCGAGCCAGTAAAAGATAGCGACTTGAATTTTCTGAAGAAATCTTAAGTAGTAGCTTTTGTTAGCAGTGCTAGATGTTTCGTGTCGTGGGATGAGTGGCCGTGAAACACAAAGACGCAGGCTTACAAATAATATTGCACATCCGAAATCCGACAGACGTGTACAGTATGTCTTACCTGAAGTCACAGTCACCTGGGTTCCTTTCCCCCAGTAATCAAACGCTCCCCAGTTGTACAGCTCTGTAACTCTACTCTTTACCTGTGCGTAAACCGCCTTAACTGTACTTCAGGTCTGCCTAAAGCCGTCTGCAGAAAACAAGACGTTTAAATCTAACCCTGCCATCTCCTTCTGTACCGACACAATGCAATTTAATTTAGACTTTCTGGTGAATAAAATATCCGCCTGAAACACATAAGACTCAACAGCGTTGTACCATTTAACGCCAAAAACATCTGATACCGCTAATTTCTGACGCAGAATTAGTACGCGACTCGTAATATTATTGTTATGGATAATTTTTCTTACCGTTTGTTACCGTGACCATAGTGCCTTTCCCCCAGTAGTCGTAAACTCCGTAGTCACGGTGCGGCAGCTGTTTAATTACTCAGTTCAAAAACGTCTGAGTCTGCTTCTTCTCAAGAACTGAATGTTTTTTTTTAAGTCAGATTAATTGTTTCTTAATGAAATACACGAACTACCGTGAACTACTGTAGTTTTTACCCTTTAGCGATGAAAGGGATTAGTCAATAGTAGACAATACAATAAATAAGAAGCCCGGGATGTCCTTTTCCAACGTCTTTTCGTACCGTTTGTGACTGTGACCTTTCCAACGCTTCCACGCTACACAAACACTTTGTCTGTTTCACAACGGTGAAGCCTCATTAAAAATCCGTGTGGTTCAAATTACGTCTAGGTATCGGCTGTAGGCTATGAAACATTCCCTTTGTCATCACAGTATTTCTTTGGCACTGGTCACTAATTTAGTCTTTTGATTCGAAGAACTTACTCGGTTTCTTTTTTTGGGGGGTGAGTTCAATACAGAGCGGCGAGTATTTACCTGAGGTGACGGTGACCGAGGTCCCTTTCCCCCAGTAGTCGAAAGCAACATAGTCACAGTGCGGCACCTCGCTCATCGTTTCGAGCAATATCTACGCGCTACTTCACACTCATAATTAAGCTTTTCCAAATCTTGACACGATTTGTTGGTGTACAAATCCGGATACCGTGTTCTCGGTAGTAAAATTAACTACGTTTCTGACCTGGACGCGTAATTATAACGGCTTTAGTCTAATTTAAAGGTTGAGGAGTAGCTCTCTGATCCCACTCAGAAACACAATTAAAACGATTTCTTTCAAGACAACAAGAAGAAAAAAGATGAACAAATTGCAATTATACAATAAATCTTATATAACACAAATAGTAACACTGATACTGAAAAAACAAACTCTGCCTCCCTCCATGTCTCAAATAGGATACTGTAACCGTTTTCTCTTGTTTAAAAAAAATATCGTAATTCAAACCGTGTTAGAGAAAGATGTTTCGTCGGTAATTACCTGAGGTGACGGTCACCATGGTTCCTTTTCCCCAGTAGTCGAAATAGTCATAGTCACGGTGTTGTGTGTCGCTAGAATCTCAGTTCTAAAACTAAGCGCTGTGAGACCGATTCCACCCGAATCAAACCGGACAGCTCCCGAGCGCGTCCGCAGTGACCTGTGCGGTCCTAACACTCGAAACGAGCTCTGAACCCGTGAGCAACCAAAGAAAGAGGTTCTGTTATACTGTATAGGCCAGGACTGTTAACTTTTAGATCTTTCATAGTTTTATATTTTCAGCTGCACCCAGAAGATAGACCCATGGAAACCAACTTTGAAATAAGTAGCACAGAAAACGAAAAAAACAACAACAATTAAATCACAATAGTATTAGAAAAGGGCGATACGTACCAGAAGACACGGTGACGCTCGTTCCTTTCCCCCAGTAGTCGAAGTAACCGTAGTAATCACAGTAAAGCGTTTACGGTGCTTTCTGAACCAAAAACCTCTTCTCAATACAGGCTTAATCAATGGTTGGCTAGTCCCTCCCACGACAGCGCCAGCTTAGGGCGAAGGCCCTTGCAGCGGCGCGGGCTGTATACCCAAATTAGGTCCCCGGGCTGGAAGACAGGCCCCCTGCAGCGCAGATCGTAGTTCTGCTTTTGCCAGATCCTCTCCTGAGCCAGGTGGGTCCAGGCAAAGCTGTGCACTCGGCACATCCCCCTGCCGCAGGTCCCACTCGTAGTCCAGTCTGGCTGGCAGTGCCAGCTCGTCTCCAGGTGGCGAACAGAGGGCCAGATCCACCGGGGTTCGCATCTCCTGGTCCAGTATGTGCAAGGCCGGGGTGCAACCGGTAGATTTCTGGACCGCGGTCCAGTACGCCCAGATCGCAAGGAGGAGGTGTCGGTCCCAATCCCGCTGGTGCTGGGACACCAGGGTGGCGAGCATTTGGTTGAACCGCTCCACCAACCCGTAGCTCTGGCGGTCTGGCGCTGGCACATCCTGGCAAAGACCTGGGACTCAAAGTTATGCCCCTGGTCGCTGTGTAACTACTCCTGCACCAACACCGCATCCACCCCCGAGTCACTCGCGTCTGTATCTAAAATGTCCGGTAACCGTGGTTTGGGGTGGGCCAGTAAGGGGGCCCCCACCAGAGCTTCGCGTAGCCGGCAGAAAGCCGCCTCACAGTCCGAGTCCCAGTCAAAACGGCGGCCCTTTTCGGTGAGGCGGTGCAGCGGGGCGGCAATGCTGGCGAAGTCCTGGAACGAACCTCCGGTAGTACGAGGCCAAGCCCAGAAAGCTGCGCAGCTCCATGATGGTGCGGGGAGTCGGCCAACCCCTCACTGCGGTGACCTTACCTGGGTCTGTAGCCACCCCTCGCAGTCCAACAGCGTGCCCCAGGAAGGTCACTTCCTGCCGCAGGACCTCGCATGTGCGGGGGTTCAGCCTCAGGCCAGCACGGCGGATGCAGGCTAGTACCGTCTGGCCAGTTGTACGTGGCGCCGCAGCCTCTCGGGTGAGAGGGCCTTGAGAAAG